ATAGCAACAAGTATGTCACCTTGGGTACACGGATATAATCAGCAACTATGACAGCATCAAAGACAAACTGGATATTGACATACCGTAAGAACATATAATGGGCTGGGGATTTAGCTCAGTGGTTCTGCCACCTGTCTTGCAAGCACAAGGACCCTAGTTCAATCCCTGGATCCCTGGTACCAAGAAAAAAAAAAACCCAATAATGTACCACCCTTAACTACAGAAAAGAGATCTATAAACATTAAGACAAACCAAATACTAACCTACAGTAAATATGTACAGAACTTTACATCATTAACAACAGAACAATGTTCAATATTAATAACACAGAGTTAACAACCGAAGGTTCATAAAACTTAATGGTTATACTAGTAAATATGGCGTGGGGGGGGTAACGACCAGAGAATGAGAAGAGTAAAATATGAGATACTAATCAAAGGAAGGTGGAAGGAGAGAAAAGATAGAGGAGCGTACCATGGAGTAAAAGGAAGTTAATAATATTCGACAACTATGACAAAATAACAAAAAAAGAAGAGTATAACCGAGGAAAATAAAAAAATAAGTTAAAACATTAAAGGGAAAAGAGAAAAAACACACAAACCCCCCAAAGCCAATAAGGAAAAAGAAAAACTGAATCAATAAAGCCTGCACCACCTCCATAGTTATCTCCTGTGGCTGTCTTTCCCAGTCACTGTAGAAGGGTGGAAACACAAGAAACTCTGAAGGGGCATACTTCTGTGGCTTGGTCTTTACCTTTTCTCAAAATGGAGCCTAACTAGTTGGTGAGAATATGACAGGTGCTACTCTGGGTTCCTTCTCCAATTCTAGCCTGCTGTGAAGGAATCACTTTCAGAATCCCATGTTGTTTTTATAGTTTACAATAGCCATGGGGTTTTCTTGGGGTAGAACTGCTAACCAGGTTCCTTATTTCTCCCTAGGGCTGCCAACTCTCTGGGCTTTCCTTCTCTCCCAAGAAACTGGCCTCATCCATGTCAGCTGTTGCTTCTGCTTTAAAATTAAAACAAAAACTTTTTTTTTAACCTTTCATGATCATTTTGACTTTGAGGAAGAGCCAGAAGTCATACTGTGCCAGATCTGCTAAGTGAGGTATATGAATCATGCTGCAATGTTTTTACAAGCCTGCCCTTCCTTTGGATGATATGCAGCAGTGGTGTTCACCGTATTTTTGATTGTACCTCATAAAGACCTACAGAACTGCTTCAGAAAGTAGCAAAACCACAATTGAGTTCAAAGCAAAGGGTAGTTTTTTGAGGGGGGTAATTAATAGAAATATTTTACACTGTAATAAATTTTAACATTCACTATATATTTTGATCACATTGAGTGCTACCTCAGAATCTTCAACATACATCAGTTTTGGAACATCAGGGGAAATGGTAAACCTGACAAAGTAATATAAAATATTTTCATTTGTTTGGCAGCAAAGGCTGCTATAGGAAAAACAGGATGGTTCTGGAATTATTTTGTTTTTTTCAAATATAACATATTGTAGACAGCATAATCATCATAGAGTACTTAATGAAAGTGACTACCCAGAAGCTAAGTATTCCACAGAACAGAAATGGTATATCCATGGAATAAAACAGTATGCAATTAAGACAGTTTCAAAGAAAATGACTTTTAATATAAATATACCCATGTACACACACACACAGCCTCTTCTTCCACCCATTCACAGCTGTTTTGTCTACTCATTTCCTCCAATATTAGAAAAATATTCCTGTAATTGAATGCACCAAAGCCAGTAACAATGATTTCTTAATAGGGTATTCTGGAGAACTCTTTTTGGGGGGCACCAGGGATTGAACTCAGGACCTTGTGCTTGGAAGGCAGGTGGTGAAACCACTGTGCTAAATCCCTGGCCCAAGAACTCTTTTTTTAAATTGTGTATCCAATTTTCTAAAAATTTTAATGTAGAAATTTCATCACAAGGAGGCTTAATTTCTTTCAAATCAAAAATAAAAGGTTTTTCCTTTTGTTTCCTTTTTTCAAAGAAAAATTTCAGTGTTTTAGCCAATAGCCTCCCAGTCCTGGTTTGCTGCCAAGGATGAGGAAGCTACAACTAAGCAGAGAAAAGGCATCAGCGCCCTTATGACCTACATGTACTCTTCTTTCTACAATTCTTAAGACTAAATGATTTTCGAAAGAAGAAACTTAATAAAGACTTATACAGACTTATACATCAGAAAATTAGAAAATGTTCTTATCCTTTCATTAGGAATGTCTAATTCAACAAGTCAACAACAAAGACATTTTTTACAAATATTCACATCCACTTGACCAGAACATAGTAACTACAAGTTCCAGTGAAATTTTTGCCAAAGTTTGCCAAAGTAACATCCAATTAGCATCTAACACTGCTTAAACTGGAAGGCTTGGTTTTTGCTATATTTACTGTATCAGTATCTTGGAAACAGCTTTGGCTTCAGAGCCTGTGTCTGGATTTAAATACACTGGGATCATAGCTTTTTCTGTCACCTAGGGCCAACCTTCAGCCATCACAGATGTTGGACAGATGATATAAGTACCCAAACCTATAACTACACTACTAAGTATAGTACAAATCTATAACTACTTCTGGAAAAAGTCCTAGGTAACAACCACGAACAATTACTGGAGACCTTCAGGAAAGTTCTAGATGGACCTATGGTGCTGCCACTGAGCACAATGTAATCCTTTATCCTTCTCACTGGAATGAACAGGTAACACTGAGAGAGGATCACCACTATTCTTGAGGTAATGTGAGCTTGTTGCACTCTTTTCAGAAAGAGTGGTTACATATTTGCACTGAAGAAAGAATAAGCAACTACTATATACTGAATGTCACTTCTGACTCCATGTTTAAAATGCAACTTGTTTCCTTTCTCAAGGGTTGGCAAACTTTCGCACATAAGCAAAATATAGCCTGTCACCTGCTTTTATAAAGTTTTATTGGAAACTAGCTATGCTCATTCATTATATAGCTCATTCATGTCTGCATTATCTATAGCTGCTTCTGCACTACAAAGAGAGTTGAGAGGTTGCAATACCAAGTGTAGGGCCCATAAGAACAAAACAGCTGACACCTGGCACATTATAGAAAAGGTATGCTGATCCCTGATCTGTCTCCATATATAGGTTAAGGAAAAACTGCAGGAAGTTACACGTGAATTTCACTAAGAGGCCACCATCATTTCTACTCTATAAAAAGATATAAAAAGGGACAAGTCATATCTGTAGTCAGAAACTCTTCAGAGAGAAATTTTGCTGATTTAAGAAAACCATGCTAAAAAGAGAAAAATAAGACCCTTTTTTTCTTACAAGAATAGTAAAGGAGTCAGCTGTGGGGCATGAGTAAACCCTTTACACATCTCTTCCCCTAGAACTCTTCACTCTCTATCACAATAGAAGATGAACCATCAAAGCTAGGGTCCAGACTGGCTGGATAAATGAGACTCCACCTGGGGGCAGAGGTTAACTATCTAGATATTGCTTACTATGTTTTTCAGAATTTGGAGGCTGTGTGAAACCCTTTGAGTATTACCATATTTTGGTGCCTAAGGCCTTTTTTATTTCTAAGTTTCAAAAGAATCAAAGCAGGGCTGGGGATATAGCTCAGCAGCAACATACCTGCCTGGCAATTGCAAGGTGCTGAGTTTGATCCCTGTACTGGGAAAAACAACAACAACAACAAAGAATCAAAGCAATGGGGCATGGTAGCACATTCCTATATTCCTAGCTAGCACTTTGGGACACTGAGGCAGGAGGATTACAAACTTAAGCCCATCCTGGGCAACTTAGTGAGACCTTTTGGTCATAGTTAATTTCTTGTTGCTGAGACAAAATATCTGCCTGATACCCACAAGTTATAGGAAGAAAGTTTATTTTACCTCACAGTTTGTAGACATTTCAGTCCACAGTTGGCTGATTCCAAGGGAGGGTAGCATGGTAGAGGGTTCATGGTAGAGGAGAAAGAGCTCATAGCATGACAGGAAAGCAGCCCTACTGGCTTATTGTTTCCCCTTTTTATTTCACCTAGACTAGAACTATTGGTTAGTGCCCACTACACCAGACCCAGGATAGGTGTTCTCTCTTCAGCAAATTTAATCAGTAGACTAATCCAATATCACACACCCTTGATGCAGTCACTCCCCAAATCTCCACCTATGAGCACATGAGGCTTTGTGGGGACATTGAGACATAAAACATAACACTCAGTCTCAAAGTAAGATTGAGGATATAGCTCAGTGCAGAAGTCTTGGGTTCATATGTAAAGGTACAAATTTCTAATGATGAACAACATTATATTGTATAAAATGTACCGATAAAATCAATTTTTAAAAAGTGCCGGGTTCAGTCCTCATTACAACTAAAACAAACAAAACAAACAACAAAAAGAAAGTATGTTTTCTCCAGTGAAAGGTGGTATTCCCAAATTGGCAGAACCTAAAATGGACACCATAGATGATTTCTTGTTTACACAATTTCTAAATTGGTGATATTAATTTTAAATTTAAAAAAAATTCCAAATGCTCAACATTTAGCTATCCTGACATTTCCTTATTATATTCCTTTACATAGAAAATGGCATTCTTAACAAATCTGAAACAGATTTCAATGTAGACAAAGCACAAAGAAATTTTATATAGTAAATAAACTTTATTCATCTGCTCCTCCAAGATGACATTACCAACAGTTACAGATTTGCATACACTAGTTTGTATTGACTATTTACAATTTATAGTAGTATTTTTTCCTCTGAAAAATATAAGTACAAAAGCTAAGTAAACAATGAGGTACTGCCATTGGATTTATCATATACCATAGCTTAAAGAACTAGTCTTTAGCAAATATTCAATAAATCAACCTGGGTAATAGAGTCAATTACATGCTGTAATTTATTAGAAAAAAATCCATTAAGTTTCACCTCAAAATGTATTGCACAGATCTTTAGAAAAGAGAAAAAACACCACCCTAAAAATAAATAAGGCAAGCAGTTCTTTAAAAAGAGGGACAAGAATGAAAGGAACATCAACTGAGCCCATAAATGAGGTTAGGTTATTCAAATTTCAAACAACATAAAATTCTTTCCAACAGAAAACTGAAGAAAAAAGAAAGAACTATCACCATTTTTCTTTCCACTGATAAAATAAATCTGTTTTAAAAGCAATCTGTGATATATCTATGGGCCAATGTCAGATTTGTCTTTGTCTCTGCCTAAGTGAAGGGCCCTAAGTGACAGCTTCATTCTCAAAGCAGAGCAAACATGGACAGTTTTCCAAGCAGCAGTTGCCAATATCACTCTCCCCATTTCTTCAAGATGAAGATCGGAGCCATGACTGGAAAAGAAAAAGGAAGTGAGGACAAAGAAAGAAAACACAGAAATAAAAACCCAATCTTTAGATGAACTTTTTAGATTCTTTTTTCAAGTTAAAATAAAATTGCATTCTGTTTTCTGAAGATTGCAACAAAGAAGTAGAACTACTGTATTCTAAATATTAAATCCTAATGCAATCTCCTGGAAATTAAGGTTCTTGGAATGATTCAAGCTGACCAATAGTTAGCAAACCTGAGAAAAAGCCTTTGAAAGGGAAATTTAGAGCTGCAACCATTTACCAAGTCCTAAATGCTAGAGAGTCTTACAGAAATTCAAGGTACCATGCTCATATCAAAGGCTCCCACAAAGACACTACTATTCAGATTGGATTTTTAGGGGAGAAAGAGCTCATCCCATTTTCCCAGTGTTGTTTTTTCTACATACAGCAACTCGGTATGGTATGTATGGCAGCAAAAGATGTTTAACATTTAAATTTAAAAAGCTAAGATTCATCTAGAATAAACTCAATTTTAAAAATAAAAATTCTATGAAAAACAATGCCAAAAATCTACCTAAGACATTCAGAGTAAAATGCTGAAAGCTAGTAGTCTGATCAAGTATGAGGTTTAAAATGTCATAAAAACAGATTAAGTAGCAGAGACAAACCTTCCATATATATTTAGTAGAAAGGAAGAAGTTTTAAAAGTCTTCTCAATTTGTAAATGTGATCCACTACTCATGAAGTATTTTATTTATAAACCTAGCTCAAAAACAATGTTGGTCCTAAGACTCTAAAGAAAATAATTTTTTAAAAATCTGCAATATTTAGTAATTCCTTTGTCAACTTTTATTTTTGAAACCCTAGAATGAGTTACTGAGAAAATAAAATCCATGAATTCTTCAACAATATGACACAATGTCAGCGTCATAAAAGATGAAAAGATTGGGAAAACTTTTCTAGTTTAAGAGATTAGAAAAACGACAACTAGATGCAATGTATAACCTTTGAGGATCCTCAATTTTAAAAAAATTATGAAAGGTATTATTTGAAAAACTAGGAAAAATTTTAATATCATAAATTATGTAATTAGTACATTTTTTTCCTTCAAGGTACTGGAGATTGAACCCTAGCCTACTACTCAATCACTAAGCTAAACCTCTAGCCCTTGGTATTATGTTAATATTAAATTTTCTCTGTATGATAAGTATACTGTAAGTATGTAGAAAAATGTCCTTTTAAAGAAATATTTTAAAGTACTGGTTTATGTTTACTCTCAAATGCTTGTAAGCACAATGTTTGTAAGTAACTGCCAAATGTTACAAAGGGGGTAAATAAAGTTGTGTGTGTGTGTGTGTGTGTGTGTGTGTGTGTGTGTGTAAAGATCAAGAAACAGAAAAATTAACAAAAGATTAATAGTTGCTAGACCGAGGTACAGTATACATAGGGATTCCTGGTATGATTTTTTTTCAAATCTTAGGTCTGAAATGTTTCAAACTAAAAGTTGAGTAGACAATTAGCTATTAAACAGAAATATTATCAGAATACATTTCCAGAGATAAATGCTAATATTTAACAAGTAACAGTATTTAAAACAGTATATGAAAAAGAAAATATTAAGATAATGGGTTAAATATGTGATTGTTTTAAGATTCATATATCTATTACAAAAGTAACCTAACAGAAACATGCAACACACTTCTGGCAATTATAATGTAGACAACAGAATAATCACATAGGCTTATTAAATGATATTAAAATCAGATTTGTAAGCATAGATGATTTTTAAAGCCAAAAGCTTAAAAGAAATGATGTATTTCAGCATTCTAAACTTTTACACCATCAGCTGAAAACTGACAATCAAAAATCACAATCTTCAATTATGAATAAGGCTACTGTGACTCAACTTGTGATTATTACAAACTATGACGTTAAAAAAAATCCTAAATGTTTAGAGGTGCTAAATCAAGCTAATCACAAGAATATGTGGAGTTGAAGGGAAGGGCTTTAAGTGGTAAAGACAGTCAAATAAAACATTTAAGATGGCTACATTTCACTGTTATAATGTGTTAATCAAAACAGCCACATCACTTACAGGAGGCTAAATATCCTCAGAATAAATGTGTTATGTTGAACTGCCTGATCCTAGCAGGTATTTTTAATCATCTTTACTAGTTTTCACTATTTTAGTCTTGACTTTAAGCCCCATAGTATTTTAATTCTTGATTTTATGAAATATCACTTTTTATAAAATGACTTTTCATTTGTCTATCACAATTTTTATTTAATTTGTACAATGTACATTCAAATATACTTAAATATTTAGGCAGTCCTTTATGGATTTGTATATATTGTTTTTTTTTAAAAGGTTTCCAAAAAAGATTTTTGATAATCACTTAATTTTTACTACAATCTTTATATACAAAAAGCTTCATTTAAAACTTACTTTACAAGAGAAATTAGAAGCATCTGATTACATGATTTTAACAAGTAATGGAAATCTAAAGGTCATTCTTGATGAGTATTATTAATCTATGTAAGGCAACAGAAAATAACATTAACCCATAGCATAATCATATGTTCATTAAACAAAAGCAAAAGAATTCCAGCAAATGGTTAGTATTATGCAATACATTTAATTTTTGCACAAAAGACACAAGACATATTATTCTCCACTCACCACATTCTAACTAAGCACAGACTGATGGTTTACTCAGAAGATACCACTGCGAGGTGAAGTAAACTACAAAGCCAGGAAGAAAAAAAGCTTCATGGGTTAGTTTTAAGACTTAATGTAACAAATAGATTATGTGTGTATTTGAAGTTTATTGTATTAAACAGATTGTATTTCAAATTTTCTTAAATCTTCCAAAATCAAGGGTGCACAGGTAAAGTATAAAGAACATGTAATATCTGCCCCCTTCCTAAGTAAAAATACTATATAGCTAAATTTTTATCTGCAAGTTTCATGTAAAAAATTTAACATAATGAAAGGTATACTTCACATCTGAAGTACATATTTAACTGTTAGATAAATTAGGGGTGATTATATACATCAAAAAAAGATTTCTTTCATAATTGCATTAAGGTACACATAACCTATTTACTCTCAAAAGGTTTTGAAAACACATTAATAAATTTAAAATGCAGTATGCTGAATTCTCATTCCTAAAATGTATCAACTTCATCAATGATTATTATTCTTTATCAAGAATATCAAGAAAAGTTTCAGAACAGATCCAACTGAAATGTCAGTTTAAAGGATTTTAACCTCAGTTACAGTTTTCACTGTAACAAACCTTATTAAAAAGACTCTATACCCTGTTTTATGATTGCCATACCCCAAATTCATTAATCAGCTTCATGGCTGGCTCTAAAATGGCAGCATCAAAAAGCTGGGCGTTGTGGCACATGCCTGTAATCCCAGCACTCAGGAGGCTGAGGCAGGAGGATCACTGTGAGTTTGGGACCAGTCCGGGCTACACAGTGAGTCACAGGTCAGTCTCCACTACACAGTGAGACCCTGTCTCAAAAAACCAATAATAAAAAAAAAGGCAGCATCAGCATCATAAACAAAGCTTATTTATTAAACTGAGGCTATTCCTCAACAAGACCAAACTCCAAAGTATCATTTTAATTATCTTACTCAATGTAAAGTTAGTAAAAGCAGCAAACTCAAAAGAAATTAGAAACGGCAACTTGAAACTAGAAAATAACATTCTACAACACACACATAACACAACATGGTTAATAATAGGAAAATCTGTAGAAGTATACAAAACACATGTATGGATATACCCTGCATCTATGCTTGTAAATTCTAAAACTGAAAACACCTAAGTGATCAAACAAGGGGCAAATTGGTGAACTGAATTGTAAGACATCTATATAATCACTCAATTTATCATTAAAAAGAATGAAGCAGATCATTTTGCAATGAGGTAGAATATAATGATATACTAAGTGCACACTCTCATTTTTATAAAATAAAACAACTGATAAAGGAATAATCATAAATTTGTAATTATAATTAACAGAAATGACCTTGGCATGTGGAGTCTGGAGGTTAAAGACCATAAAGGACTCTCTGTATGTAATGTTTCCGAATTGTCTGCAGTATCAGTAATCCCATAGTACTTTATTCTAAAGATATTTGAGTCAAAACCATTTCATGACTAGGTGTGGCAGCACATGCCTGTAATCCCAACACTCAGGAGGAGGCTGAGGCAGGAGGGCAGCAATGAGTTCAAGGCCAGCCGGAATGAGACTCTGTCTCAAAAAACCAAAAAAAAACAAAAAACAAAAAAAAAAAAACGCAAAAAACCAAAAATAACAAATATGCACTTTCATTTTTCACTACGTGTCGTTTTTACTTGAATATGTTTCCAAATACACCTTGAAGGCATCTTCTTGCATTCAAAGGGAAAAGTAAATCTCATTATGGAATGGAAAACTTTTGTACTTAAAAATTTCCAAAAGTCCTGATTATATTTTAAATTCAAAAAAAAAAAAGAGAGAGAGAAAATTAAGACATGTAGTACAATACTAGTCTAGGGCAAGAACTAATCAAGAACTAGACACAAGGTGGGGCTGTCCTTAGTGGTATAGCACTTGCCTAGTGCATGGCAGGCCATGGGTTCAATCTCAAGAACTATTAAGCAAGCAAGCACGCAAGCAAGCAAGCACACATGCATGTGCACGCAGACACACACACAATCAGTGTGAAAGTAAAGTAAACATATAAAATATGACAACGGATGGGGAATGAAAACAAAACATTTTTTATCAGAGAAGAAAATTTTTCTTTCATTGAAATCATTAAGAAAATTGACATGTATGTAGACTTAAGTCATTAAATTTTACTAGCACTCTAAAGCTGGGTGTGGTGGCACTTGCCTATAATCTCAGCATTCTCAGAGGTGAAGGCAGGAGGACCACAAATTCCAGCCTATTCTGGGCAACTTTGTGACTAACAAGAACCTGACTCAAAATTTAAAATAGGGACTGGAAATACAGCTCATTGTGAAGGCCCTAGGTGTAATCATTAGTACCAACAACAACAACAATAACAACAGCAAAATGTTTTGCCAGTACTTTAAAAAAAATAAGTTAAATATACTTCCAGGAAAACTGTGAAAAGGAAGTTTCTATACAACAAAGACATCTGTCAATTCCAAGAAATGATTTGTCATCAAATTACAATAAACTTTCTTAAAGTTTAAAATTTTCTTAAATACAAAACAATCATGAAACACTCTACCAGATAAGTACTAATAATCTCCTTGAACTGATAAAAAGGTGACTCAATTTGATGAATTTATAAGTCATCTCACATTTTGAGATCTCTCTCAATGTTCATCATAACATTTCATAATCATCTATTTTTATTTTTTTAATTATACTTCTTAGGCATATCTTTATATATGAATGTATATGAATTTATCCTCTAAAATTAAAGATTCCATAGGTCAACAACCATGTCTTCTATAGCTTCAATTTTTCTATATTCCCCTTAACAACTAGAAGACTAATTTGATCACTGTGCAAAAGATGATGGATGAGGGTTTGTTTAAAGGAAGCAGAAAAGTGGGACACTCCTTTTGGGCAGGTTAGCCTCTGATGAAAAATCTTATCAGGAAGGATCAGTTAGCCACTATTCCATCCCTATTTAGAATGAATACTACTCTATTCAGGAATAGACACTAAGTTTTTTTGAAAATTTCCCATTAGTTAAATTTAAAATGAAACTTTGTCTTTTACATGGTTTGCTATTTATATTTATCAATTTGAGTAGTTTTCATCAAAATAAACCAACCTAAGTCAGCCTGTGTGCATGGAATGAAAAGCAATGTTTCCTCCTGCATTTGCAGAGCAATGATTTAGCATGAGTAAATTCTGATACACAGAAATTGTAGGTACTGATACCTACACAGTAAATTCTGATAAACTGTAGCCAGACAGTAAGAAGAGAGTTTCTATACTTCAATATTAGGACAATAAATAGAGAGCCATAGGATAACAAGTAACTAAATAAAATCTCTTAATATCAATTAGAAATGTTTCTTAAAACCATAATGACAGAATCATGTTCCAAACAGCCTAAACTTCATTGGAGATTTTCTCACAAAAGACATAGCTATTAATTTAATGAAAGAAAATTTCTACTCTGAATGAGTACACATTTACAGAATCAGATGCCTATCATAATTTAAAACAACATTTTTCTCTATTGATAAATGGCATGCATTATAGTGACACATGTCTTTATCAAAATATTTATAACCAGGCCAGGTACGGTGGCACATGCCTGTAATTCCAGCTACTCGGGAGGCTGAGGTAGGAAGAATGTAAGTTGGTGCTCAGCCTGATAACTTAGTGAGACCCTGTTCAAGATAAAAAATAAACAATGTGCTGGAGATGCAGCTCAATGGCAGAATACTTGACTAGCATGCAGGAGGATCTAGGTTCAATCTCCAGTATTATACAACATACAAACACACAAAAGATTACTGGGACAAACAGCAGGGATGCTAGGATCAACTGGGAGGAAGAAAAGATGGTCAGATTGCACCTGGAGCATTGGGCTTCTTCCAGACAGACCCCCTCCCTGCAAGGGGTGAAATAAAGGAACTTCATAAATGGCTAAATGCTGGAGGTTTTTAGCCAACAAGAGAAAAGTCTTCCAGATAGGTTATCTTCAGATTTTGGTGAAACTCTGTGGATTAGAACCCAACATACCAGATTGAACAGGTGACCACTAAAGAGTAGGATATTTGGGGTCAAGATAAGCAAGAATGTTTTTTAGGAAACAGTGACTGTTGTCAAGATACAATGAGATGATTTGGGATTTACTCTCATAGTGCTTCTTACTAGACTCAGACATACATTAATCCACCACCAAGGAGAAGGTATTTGCATGCTTTAGTGAGAACAGAGAAAAGAAAAGTGGCACTGGGCTTATGATTCAAGTAAAGAGATTAAGCGGAAGGAAAGGAGGGCTCTGCAGGCCTCTATCAAGATGAGAAAGAAAAGAGACAGCAAGGGTCAGGACACAAACTTCACAAGCTTTACACTCTGCCTAGAGTGGTGTATATCTTACTGAATAACCAGACCAGGGCAAAAAGAAGTTAGGCATGAGAAATTTTGCATAATTGATGAAATATGTGTGTATTTCATTTCAAGCACAGCTGATTTAATATAAAGTTTTAAAAAATAATTTGTTTCCTTACCTTTTCCCTATAAGGTATCAAAGGCTCAAAAATGTTTAAATTCTTTCACTCAGAATAAATGCATATGTAAATCAATTGAAATAGAATAAAACATCATGATATATTTTGGTTTAAAAAATTATTATACCAGGGCTGGGGATTTAGTTCAATAGTTCTGCCGCCTGCCTTGCAAGCACAAGGACCTGAGTTCAATCCTCAGCACAAAAAAAAAAAAAAAAAAATATTATACCAGAACAAATAAATGTCTTTTCCATCCTTTCCAAAAATAGCTCACAGAAGTACCAACATCATACATGCTATCAAACAAAACTGTTCTCCTTGAAGGCATCCATTCACGCTTACCCTTGGTTAAACTTTCTTAATCTAATTACACTCTACTTTTCAGGCAATAGCATAATAAAGACTAGAAAATTTTCAATTTCTTTTCATCAACTCAAAGTCATTATAAATGAAGCAATATAAATAGATGAGGTAAATTCATCTTCATCTAGAGCCCACTTATAAAGCTTACCATTAGCCGTGCATCTTCTCTTTCCAAAATTTTCTGAGTCTGGTCATCTGGGAACTTTAGTACAGTAGTTATAACTTTTGCCATGGTCTGCAAGAAAAATGAGAGATGATCACTAATAAGCAGTGAAACAGATGAAGTCTCAACCCATTCTGACATGTTCTGCTGGTGGGATTCTTTAGTGCTCTCAATGGAAGCCACGAACAAAGAAGTATGATGTGAAGGTATCAGTCAAGGAAATACTGTAACAGCCAAAACTAGAATTTCAATTTAAAAGGACTCCTCACAATGTCTGGGTTTATATTGTTTTAAGATACGTTTTCAATAGCATGAAGCTGTATAAAGATCTAATGCTCTTGGCCCTTTGTCCTATTAAGATAGAACTGTATTACTTAACATTTTAAAAGTCTTTTCATTTGCAGAAATCTCTAAATTCAATGCCAAAATATATGCTCTATATCGTCAGAATTAGATGCCCTCACCCCGTTCAGCTTCAACTAAATCACATCATATATCTCATAAACACGGGCTACTGCATGAACATGAACATGCTTAGTAGGTATTTTTCAAGACATGCAGCACATTAGCCTAATAGAAATACAAATTACATTTTAAATAAACACAAGATGTTTTTTTGTTTGGTAGAAAACATGATGAATCAAAACATTACACATGGCTTGCAAAACAAGATCATAAATTGTGCAGATCTAAATAAATATACCGTAAGTCAGAGTGTCACCCATAAGCTCCTGGAAAATTCTCCTCAAAGGTTGAAACTCCCTATTTGTATCAAGATGAGATGTATTGAGGGAGACAGAGAGGAAAGAAGATACCACTTATGAAAAAAGTAGGATAACAAATTCAGTGCTTACATACAAAGTCAGGTGGTAATACTATTGTGGGGACTCTTACAGTGGATGAGAAAGTAGCCCATAAAAGTGACTCTAACACTTTGTTCATGGTTACATAGACTCTTTGTGGAGGGGAGGAAGTGGGAGTGAGGTGCTGGGGAAAGTCATTTAGAAAAAGATGGCATAATAGTAAACCAAAGGTTTGCAAACACATTAGAAAAAAGTATAATTATTTTTATGAAAGAAATTTTTAAAATATTCCTATTATGTACTAAGCCTAGGCAAAATACTTTCTGATATTTATTTCAGCTAATAGATTGATTAATATTGTAACCCCACACATAGCTGGATTTTAGTTTCAGCTAACTTCTTCCTTTTATCTTGCCTCTGCCATTTTGATGATTAAAAACAAAAATACCACTAAAAACAACTTAGTTCTTGAAGAATTCCTAAGGTATTTTATAAAAGCATTCATTATTTAAATTGTACTAACTAAAATATAACAGAATCTTACATACTAACCTGAAGTCTAGAAACCAAGTATATTTGTGGCATAAAATAGCAAGAGAAATAGTAGGAAGAAAGCATTCTAGTATTCTCATTTTATTAACACTGAAGAAACTTTATATATGCTATGGGAGTAACAAAAATCTACAATTCAAGATTCCACAGTTATAAGGAGTATTTCTCTAACTTCAGTATCACATTAAGCTCAAAGTACTAGAAAGTCCACTTATATTCACTATGAGACTACATATAAATGATGAACAAGCATGGTTATTAAAAAAAGGAAAAAAAACTGGCTTCTATTCTTTTCACATTTCTAGATAACATTACATGACAAACCCATCTCTAAATTCATCAGCAATACAGAATCTGTAGCTGATTACTAAGTAAAGCCTTAAAGCTTGTCAGAAAATATTTTATTTGACAAGTCCAAAATCTCTGCACACCCTGGGAAAGAAACCAGACTGTCAGGGCTGGGGGATAGCTCAGTGGCACTGAGCCTGCCTTGAAAGAACAAGGTCCTGAGTTTGATTACTAGTACTGCAAAATAAAAAGAAAAGAAACAAAACGAAACCAGACTGTCTACTCTACATACCATACCCTGCAAAGCAAGGAAGAGGCCTCTCTTGCAAGGTTTTCCTTGGGGAGAGGCTTCTTCATTCAATTAAGTTTAGGATGAAAAACACCCTTTACTGAAAAGGAAGACAGTCTAAATTTCAGTATCAGTAATAACACAGAGGGTCCAAAATCATGAAAAAAAAAAAAGTTCAAACACAGAAGAAAAAAAGTTTACCTAACTTCATACTATAGGAATGTGTATACTATATATAGTTAAAAAGTTGTCTGTCTCAGGAGAATCACAAGTTTAAACCCGCCCCAGGGATACTTAGTGAGACTTTGTCTCTAAAAAGAATTTTTTTTTCCCAATGGCTGGAGATGCAACTCAAGTGTGGAGGCTGTGGGTTCAGTCACTAGTAAAGGAAGCAAGGAAGGAGGGGAAGGGAGGAAAGAGAAGGTGAAAAGGAAGGAAGAAAAAAGGAAGGGAAGGGAAGTAAAAAGGAGGGAAGGCAAGAGGTCATCTATCTCACAAAAACAAATGAAGAAACACAGGAAAGATGACATACAAAGACTGCTAGACAAGAAACAACTGTAGATGGTAATCAAATCACAAAGACCTCAATAATAGCTCATTCCAAAACACAACTTGGTCTCTATTACAGATTACTTTGTAATGTATAGAAATTATGCAAATGAGCAAAAGAGTTCTGATTTGTTAATCTTTGCTCAAAAGCATCAGGGCTACTTCCTATGTAGTACCTACAGATAAAACTGAAAACACTCAAGGCCCTTCACACTCTTGTTCAATTAAAGTGGAATTACTGTCATCTCACAGAACTATCATTTTAGTTACATCAGATTACTTGTCATTCCAGAAACCCACCTGCCATTTCTGCCTTGGACCTTCTCTCTGGACTGTCTCTCTTTTCTAAATTCATCTATCAAAATCTAACCTTCTCTGCTTAAAGCCCAGTATATATACTACCAAGTCCACAAGTCCTCCTTGAGCCTTCTAGTAGTATTAGGACCATACTTCTCTCACAGCCCTTACTAAGGCTCACTACATTCTGTATCACATTACTCATATGTTAACTGAGAATGGCTTCACTCTCTCACTATATGGTGAGTTTGAAGTCAGGGATGGTACCAAATTCTATTTACTGTCCACCATGGTGATAAACAGACATTAACTGCTTAATAAATATGCAGTAAAGTTGTTACCAATTCGTAGTATTTATGTATAAAATACAATGGCAAAATGACAGACTACTCTTTACTTTTAGTAGTCAGAAAGGTACAATGAATGAAGGCAAAGACAAAGCACGTGCTCCTCCTTAACACGGATTTTCAGATCAAATGTAGATGGGACTGTGATGTAGAAAGGACAACCCTTTGAGCTATCTCCCAAGATATACCCTAAAATTAACTGGAAGGCTCAGAAAGCACAAGCTTAGACTTGGCTGAACCTGTACTACCCCATAACAGAGCTTATGCTTGTGCTGGGTCTTTCTTGGGGGGAGAGGTGGTATCAAACTTCAGAAAGATCTCATCTCACTAACTTGACTGTTTTTCCAGAAGAACCATGTTGGGACAGCCAGTCTCTTTTATTTTATAGAACACAGAAAGGTAAATAATTTATTTAGCAACAACACTCATCACAGCTTTAGATACACTAGAGTACTGAGGTAGCTAAAGTTCTGAGAGACCTTTTTTTTTTTAAAGATATGCCTCTCTTCCCTTGACTATTCTACAGCAACAAAGTAATTTTATTTAGCCAACCTCAGATACTGGCTGCTATTTTACAACCAATAAGAATATAATAAGAGGCCGGGGATTTAGCTCAGCGGTTCAGTGGCCTGCCTTACAAGTGCAAGGACCCGAGTTCAATCCCCTGTACCCCCCCCAAAAAAAGAATATAATAAGAGGCCGGGGATTTAGCTCAGCGGTTCAGTGGCCTGCCTTACAAGTGCAAGGACCCGAGTTCAATCCCCTGTACCCCCCCCAAAAAAAGAATATAATAAGAGAAAGCTATATTTCATTAGCTTTATTTTTTAAAGATAGAAAAAATTAGTTTTAGTTGTCCTTGAAAAATGACGAGTTCTTAAAAAATGACACTGAGCCATTGTGAACTGATATATCTCTTTTCTATGAAATATGCTCATGATCATACTTCAATCTGAAAACTATCTGATGCAATGAAATATAATTTCTACAGATATTAAGAATTCAAATGAATGTAGGTGAATATCAGACCTATATAATATTCTTTTAAAAGTTTCTTCTGCCCTTGCTTTTTAAATTTTAAGTATATCTGCCAAATACATGCCTGCACTGCCTTAGTATTTTCTCTCAGTAACCCTCAACACAGCCACACATTAAAACAATGATTGCTTCTAAGGCTGGAAAACTCACTATCCCATGCTTAGCCAAGACAGAAACAATGTACAATTTATGAAAGTAAAAAGTTGTAAAAATGTCAAACATAGAAAGGGTTAAAATAAAAAATTTTGTTTGGGGTACGGCTCATAAATTTCCCTTAAAGAATACAATTCAAAAATCTCTGAAAAGGCACTTTTTAAAACACTGCAGAGGACACAAAAAAAGCAAGACTCTACACTCAAGGACCTTACAAAAAATGTAACATTCTAGAAAACAAATTAGCCAAGCTTTATTACTCACATTGTGCACTAATTTTAAAATGATCAATATCCCCCATGTATTTGAATGATTTTCTTACAGTAACTAAAGCAAAGTATTTCTAAATCTTCCTGAGAAATTACAGCTAATTATGACCATTTCCAAAGCTATCCTAAAGTCTTGAAATGAATTTTTCTAATTTTAAGATCTGAAGTCAAGAAGAAACATAGCCAAATGCATCAAAAATTCTTTTTTTTTGGTACTGGAGCTTGAACTCAGGGCTTTTAAGCTACATCCCCAGTTCCTTTTTATTTTGAGACAGGGTCTCACTAAGTTGCCCAGGCTGGGCTCAAACTTTTGATCCTCCGGCCTCAGCCTCCCAGAGTGCTGGGATTACAGGTGTGCACTACCACACCTGGCATACAAGTTATTTTTAAATTAATGAAATTTTAATTTTTACTATTTAATGTTATCCAACAGCATTTTTAAAAATTAACCTTTTATAAATGTAACAAATATAAGCAAGATGTTCCAATTCACTTATGTTAAGAGTAGTAACAATCAGGCTAGGGATTTAGCTCAGTGGTTCTGCCGCCTGCCTCACAAGGACAACGACCTGTGTTCGATCCCTGGTACCAAAAAAAAAAAAAAAAAAAAAAAAA